AAATAAATGTTGCACATACTTTTTTGATTTATCAATGTCTACTCTACATCATATCCAATTTTTTTTAAATATAGCAACAAAAAAAAAACATTTCGGACTGGACTACGAAGCCCAGAATCTCTCTCATGGTTGCACTGTCCCGATTTCTACAAGGATAGACAAGATCATTAATATTAGGCAGATATATAGCATGACGTACCAGTTCAACAAAATGTTTAAAATGATGAGTTGCTTCTTTGCTTTTTCAGCCTTTTTGGGAAGGGGTGGGGGCATAAAAGCTTCATTTTTCAATTATTATTTACCCAGTAAGCCTCGCCCAAGTCAAGTTCAAACAAGTCAAAAATTCGTCATTGTTTTAAACATGTTAAAATTATGAGTGTAGTAATTTTCAAAATTACTACACTACAATTACTCCACATTTTTTTTTTTTTTGTAAAAAAAATGGAGAAAAGAAGAAAATTATATTCAAATTTAAGTCTTAAGAGTGCCATTTCTGACCAGAGGTGCCATAATCATAAATGTTATTCTTACCTCAGCTACAACCTTTAAATATGAATATTAATATTATACTAACCTTGTTTCATCGCAGATGGTCTAGAGCTAAAAGGAATATAGTCCTTAGGAACAGGAAATGATGAAAACAGAGGCCAAGGGTAAGGGTGTTCTGAGTCTATGTCAAGGGTCTTAGGAGGCAGCACTCGTTCTGATGGTCCACCAATTGTATAGGATCTCACAAGTATTTGGTTCCTCTCCACAGACAACATATCAATAATGATGTCACTGAAATAAAATACTATTAAAATGAATGCTGTAATAGTTTTCGTTATCTATTACTTAAGTTTGCAAAATCTCCCTGTAGTGACAATAGTAGATCAGGAAATTGTATTGAAATATTATAATAATAATAAATACTTTATATACACGGTAAAACTTGATTCACCAAAGGGTGCTTTTCATCAAGGCCGTATACATAAAAGCAGTATAAAAACTAGAAAAATAAATTCAAACACAAAGTATTAATTAAATATCAAAAACAGAAGGTTAAGAAACACTATACATAAATACTAAAAAATCATCATACAGATATACAAAGCGAGTAAACTGATTTAATTCAAGATAAAATAAACTGTTCGAACTTGACAAGCCTTGGCGCATTTCTAACATTGTCATTAAGATTATATTCCATAAAATAGCATCATGGTAGGTAAAAATCTTTTTTTTTTTGTAGTCTTTGGTTTTTCTATATATAAAACATCTACTGATTGTGTTATACTGCTGTTCTTTTAATATGAATCAATCACTAAGGTATGAAGGTCCATTGACATAAAAAATCTTGTACATATAGTAGTAGCTTCATTAAAAAATAGTTTTGAATCAAGGCTTATCCATCTAAGGTCTTGCAGGGCTTGGGAATTAGAGCCATAGCGTGACTTTTTCAAAATCTTCTTTGCTGCCCTATTTTGGAGAAAAATTTATAGTGTTTTGTTCGCTCTCCCCCATATGACGTTACAGTAGTTAAAATGTAAGGCTATTAAAGATTTGTACATCATTGTTTGGAGATGCTGAGGGAGTAAATTATAAGATCAATAAATAAATCAAAAAGCCTGGCAAGACCTTAATTTTGACACAGTCAATTTTCTTATCCCGTGACAAATTTTCATCAATTAAAACACCACCATTCACCATTGATGTTTATGTTAAGATCTATATTTCTATTTAGGCTAACATATAACCGAAGAACTTTTCATTAATAATTGTATCTACAATAAAAATGTAGGTAAAAATGGCCATGGAAAAAATGGTCCCTGAAACATAACAAACAGCCCTGGTAGAAATGGCCCCAGATGACAGGTAGGTAAAAGCTGATAAAATTTAGTAATAAACTGATTTTTAAATTTTTTTTTAAAATCTTGGAACTATTAAAAATCGAATCAACAAATCAGCATAAATCGATGTTTAGTAATCCAGCTGTTTTTAACATGATATTGTTTATTTGGGAATAATTATGTATATAAGGAAATAGGTATAGAGCACCTTTATTATTTACCAGGATATTTAAGATTTAGTTTGTTTATCTGGTCATAAAAATAGAAACTACAAGAATACTCTATTTTATGGGAACCTTGACTTGTTTATTGTTATTAGTTTGATATGCTTAAGTGAAATTAAAACAGGTCATTTAAAAAAAAAAAAACTTTTTAAAAAAGATGCTACTGTTAAGTTTTATTAGGCAGTTTTTTAGCAGGAATTTACAAAGTAAAAAAAATGCCTGCTTTTTTAAAGAACAAATAAGTTTGTTAAAAAAAACTGTCAATTGATTAACGTTTTTATTTAAAATAACAAACAAATGTTACATTGATTGATTAAATTATTTAAGAAAACAAACACATGAATCTAATAACTGAATTTTGATGATGTAAAAGTTGCAATTTAAAAAATATGTTGTATTAATTTTAATATACTTCCTGCAAGTAATATAAACGGCAACTATAATATTTGACAGATTGTTTTTTAAAAACTAAATTATTGTAGTTTTAAAAAATGAACGACTTGCGTTGATTTATTGATTCCACCTGTTTTGCAGCATTTAAATAGTTTTTTTTTTTAAAGTTTATTACTAACTTTCATCACTGGGGCAAATTTTACATACCGGCCATTAGGGACTGTTTTTAACGGTGGAAATTTCTTCTGGGGTCATTTTTATCCGGGGCCCTATTTTTCAGGGGCCATTTTTCCCGGGGCCATTTTTACCATACACCCTACAATAAAACTAAATGTGAAAAAGCAAGTCTTGCATTCACTGACTAAAGAATAGTACAAACCCATTGTCTGCTTTGTTGTCCTGCTGTGCCCTCAGGAGTGTGCTCCAGATTGAATATTGGGACTCCAACAGCAGAAGAGTGTCCAACGAACAAACCATTATACTTAATAATCTAGAAGATAATCATCATAGCAGCTTTGTTAAAAAATATCAATAGGATTACACTCTACTAATAATGACCATGATGGATTGATTGATAAATCATTAGTTGATAGTAGCATGGTACAGCTTGCTGCCAATCGAGAGGTTGTAAATTTGAGACTGCGCAACCTTGCATTGCTTTTGCTACATTTAGACCTATTTATCAGCAGCACACCAGAGCGATATATTCTGTCCAGAAGTGCATTCCATTTACAGTGCTTAACAACAGTCTTGGAACAGAGATTTTGGAAGCGGTTTGGTGTGGAGGGATCGGTTTGGTTTCCCAACCTCAAGGCCGGGGTTTCAATCCCTCGCTTGTCTCCATTTCGCTTGTGTCCTTGAGCAAGGCACTTTATCTGCATTGCTTGTCTTCACCCAGGAGTATAAATGAGTATGGTGAGGTTGCCTGCTCTCCTGCGCTGACTACCAGCAGCAACACTTAAAGCATGTGGACCCAATGACCAGGGAAAACTGTGCTTTATAACTTTCAGGAAGAGGCATATTATAAAAGCCTACACCTGTTCTACAGTCTGCATATGTTCAGAGAAAGATGACCTAAGTCACTAATTCGTTAGAGTATATTTTTTCGCACAAGTTTTTGGAAACGAAGAAAGCTGAACATCGTGTGCATGACTGTATCCTATGAACATATACATAAAATAAAACAATGCCAACAGGTACCCATAAGTCCCACTAACCTCAATCCAAATGTGTGAGACTGTTCCATATTGAAGAGGGAATGAGCCTTGCTATCAGAGTCCACTAAAATCAATCTCTCAATAATATCCTTTAATAGAAGCATGATAATGATGAGGTGATATGACCAATGTCCAAACGAGCAAAGAAATTATGAGAATATCTCTAAGAACTATGAATGGGTGTGTGGTGGTGTATCAAAGTGGACAAAGCCACTTCATGTGCTGGACTTAATCCTATTTTGAGGTATGTAAAACAATAATTTAATACAATTTTCTCTATCGTTATTGTGTATTGCTCGCTGCTGCTTTTGTTGTTGTTGGTATTAATATTTGAGTATTTTTATCTATCAACAAAATAATATAATGATCTGAGTATTTATTTTCATTACATTTTATAGAAATAGAAAATGTACAGTGCTCCAATAGGAACATGTTATAATCGTATCAAGCATAGAATACCCAAAATAATCATAGTTTCAGTAATATTGATTCGTTTCATGTGAGCCACACCCCCTCTAGACTCTAGACTCTAGGATGCTTCACGTTTTAGATCATCCTTAATAGCCTGTAATTCTACAGCAGAATGAGATTATGCAGTATTATGCACTAAAAGGCATAATATTATGCACTAAAAAGGCCTAATATCTTGCACTCCCATTTAAATTTTGATGAAACTTCACTTACCACTATTGTGTCAGGCATCTCACGAAATGTGTAAATCTGGGAATGTTTCAGAACCTGATCAGCTATAACCTCATAGACTGCTGGGAATGCTGACAACACATTGACAAGACTTGTAAAACTCTACAACACAAACATACTGTATAACTATCAATTGTACTACTGTATATCAACTTTTTTCTCTAGGAACATCAATTAAACTAACTATGCTCCCCTTACATGACATGTAAATCAGCTTGAATAACCAGAGACGATGCTCAAAGGTGAAGACTTAAAATAAAATTATAAATCTCAATGACCTTCCTTATTGATTCATACGCTGTAAAAAAATAGGAACCTTTGCAATGGCCTTTGCATGTTCGTCCGTATATCTCTGCTTGAAGAAAATTTTGGATAATACACAAGAACTTTATAACCCACCCATCCAAGACTCGGAATAATCTAGCACCAATGGTGCAGTGGATTATGGAATGTTTCATTTTATACGAATATGATCCAATTGGCTGAGCTCTCCAAATGATAATTAGACTCTAGGGTATGTACAAAATATGCAATGACTATAATGTTTTAGATTAGAGGACATTAAAAACATTTCCACCTGAAAGAACCTTGACCTTCGCAGAGGTCTGATTTTGATCAAATGAGATGTTTCATTCCCAACTGTAGGTGATCCTATATAAGAATAATGCATATTCCTGGTATTTTACCTTTTAAGGTAGTGGCTAGCACCAATCTGTTGGGACCAATGTCAACAAGTAGTCCTTAACGCTGGAAAAACATGTCAGATACTTAGACACTCGGCTAATTATATTCAAAAGCCTACTGGGTCCTCAAATATTTACCAGTTCTGAGATGATCACCTTGACTTGCTCATGGGAAAGTTGTTTTTAATTACTTGGCCCCTTACCAGTGGCCCTCAAATTCTCAAATGAAAATCGGCAGTGGCTGGAAAAATTACTCTTCCCGAGTACTGTCACAGGCCAGGACAGAATTGTTAGCAGGCCGGAGCTGGCCTGCGGGAAAGGGGTCAAATGCTGGGGATGTATATGGAGTCAAACAAAAAAAAAAAACCAATAAAAACAAAATAAATGTTATCATACTTTGTGAGCTGTTCTGTCAATTGGATCTACTGGGGTATGAGAAGGTCGTAGAACAGGTCGGTCATCACGGCCACATTCTAATACAGTCCATAGTTCATTAACAATGCGTTTTATGAACCCTGAGCCTTGCAGGGCTGCCATTCCAGCTGCAGTGGCTGCCACCTGTGTAACCATAGTTCCATACCCAAATTTTTCAGTCTTGCTAACCTGCACATAAATAAGTTGAATAATAATAATGATTAGTTTGACATTTTGACATGCAAAACAATAAAATTAATATTAAAAGATATATACTCTGTATTGATAACGCTGTTTGTGGTGGGGGAGGAGAAGAGAGTGTGATATGTTTATATATCATTTTTTTTAGCTTAGTTACATCTTATGATAGTTGATGGTGGACAAGTGCATAGAAGCTCTGTATTATATACTATGACAAATCCAAAATGTAAATCTTAATTTTTACAAGTAAAAAGTGGTATGGCCTCTGTAAGACACTCTCAATATGAAAGGCTAAATAATGAATGAAGAGCATCTTTTGTTGTTTTTACTGCCGCTACAGTGTTTTCAGTACAATCGTTGTACTGCATCAGTCCCTGACGCAATTTGGAAGGCTCCCCTATTCGAATGACAAATCAGCATCACCGAAAGCTGTCGGAGATTGTGTGTAGCGATTACATGGAAACCAAGCTTCAATAATTGTTGTTAGCTAACAAGAACAAGTTGTCAGATGTCATTTAATGCTTAGTATGTTTTCCCACAATGCTGAGTAAAATAAGTATTTAAAACTACCTCAACATTATTGATGCAATAAGATGTATCTACCTGCAAACAACTTACTGACAACAAAATAACCCTCCTGACACTCTCGTAACAATACATGGCAATGATAATCTTAAACACATCTGTAAATCATAAACCAACTCTCACCAATCAATACCTATACAGTACTTTGATTAATTAAGACACTCCGGCCTGCTTCAGGTTTCGAACTTTACCTGTACCTTTTTTTATGATTGTCTCACATTTTTGTGAAGAGCCAAGGACCTTGGCTATGTCAGCACACTAGGACTCCAGCAATGTCAGTACACTGTGGTAGAGGTTGCTGTAAACCATCATGCAATTATGCCACAAAAAAACAAAATATTCTAGCACCAGCTTCAGTGTTGGAAGCGGATCAAAATATTTCACTTTAGCAGGTAAACATTATTAGTCTTATAATTCATAGCTTTCATAAAGGAATCAAGGGTCTGACACAATTTTAAAGAGTGCACAGCTGACCTGAAGTTTTTTTGCATATCTGGTATACATGTAAGTAACACATTCATTCATTGCACCTGTCTGTTGTAAGAACAGTAAACCCTGAAACACAATCAAAAACACTAGTTAATTCATCAATTTACACAAAAAAAAAACTGTTACTGTTTACAATCAAACTAGACATGAGATGTTTCTGATATTAATAATTAACATTAGAACTTCACATTTGTTAAACAACAAAACCATTTCTATAAATTTCAAAATAAGTATAATCACAAAATTTTTGAAAAAATAGGTATGAAATATGTGTTAAACGATAATTGTACTTCATAATCCCATGAATATAGATAATAGGGGAGTCAGGGGCCATTTACTTTTATTCAAAATGTCGGATGATTTTATTATTTTGTATATACAAATATGAGAAAATATTATGTATGTTTTACAAATCAACCTACTTTGGGTGTGCCTGCAAAATTAAGAAGATTGTCAATCAAAGTGTTTTCCCATGCAACAGCACCTTCAGAGGCAGAGCAAACTGGGTTACCATCCTCTGCTCCCGGAGTAGGCGTGGCTTCCTGTACTTCCCGCACAGCCTAATGCAAAATTGTTAATTATTTTTTGCCATTACTGATAATGTCTCAAATAGTTTCTGCATCACCAAACCAAGAGGCTACTGACTTAACATTGTACTTCAGTTCTCTTGTCATTTTATTCATACGCAAACATCAATCAATCAATCAATAAAATAGCATTTATTTAACAAACAACAATAAAAAAATATACATATCCGAATGAAATTGCTAAGTAGTACAGAAAAGAAAACACAATCTCTCAATGTATTTCCGGCAAGCATAAAAAAGTTGTTGATTCCAATTCAATGTGACAAGTGTTCTCCATGGTAAAACTCAGGGGGTATATTTTGAACGAATCAATGTAACTGACTTTCAATTCTTTTTACAAAAATGGTACTCACCTTAAGAGCTGTTGAAAAAGATGGAACTACTTAATATTTTGAAAGGCTGATATCAAATGCTTTAGAGCTTGAATAATAATTTTCACAACTACTATTTAATTGTGTTTTATTTAACTAGACAGGTAAAAATTCAGGTTTTTTGAATCAGAATCTGGACATCAAATATTTTTAAAAGCCATATAAAAAAATAATTTAAAGCTACTTGAATACAGGGGCAAAGGCTGGTTTCAGCCAGAGGAGGGGGAGGGGGAGATGTGGAACTAAATCCCAAAATGCAGAACTAAATAACTATTCCAATGAATGGCATTTTAACCCCCTAAGTGGAACTAATTTGTTGCCATGGAGGGGTGTGTCTGCAACAATCCCACCCCCAACTACGCCCATGTGAATATATCCCCTATCTGAAATCTCCACTTCAAAACAGATGTTGACATCTCCACTTCAAAACAGATGTTGACAACAGATGTTGAATTTATTAAAAAATATTCACAAGATATTTTTGAAATCCTGTTTGTAGCTACACTCAGTACTACAGATCTTGACATTCACATGATTCACGCACTAAAATATGTTAGATGGGATGCTTACCAAGAAAAATAGGCATTTTGAACAGTATGTGGTATTGAAATTACAGTACCTCTTTCCATGCATTAACAACAATTGTATGCAGCTTATACGGATGAAGAGCAAGTCTGCCCTCGCAGGTGTTATACAACTGTCGACAGAGGTACAGGTATGCACCAGCAACAGCACGACTTGGTCTGAGACCGAAGGTACTTGAAAATGTTCCATTGAGAGCTCTACGAGAGAACTCTGCAATAATATGAACTGCTGCAGATCTAGGACAAGAAATAAATTTTGTAGGAAGTTAAAGTCAAAGCTTTTCAAGACTATTTTGTGGTATAATATATGTGTATGCCAGGGGTGGGCATAAAAATCAGTTGGAGGGCCAAAATGACTTTCTGATATAACACCGAGGGCCGCATCCAACTTTAATCTTTCCAGTGCACTTTCAAAATCCTCCAAGCACTGCTTTTACACCACTTTATTCCCAGTTTTAATATTACTTTTTACATATGATCAGGGTCGGGCCGTAAAAAACAAGGTGTTTTCTAGCCAATGTTGCTTGGCGAGCCGCACACATAGGCTTTTAAATTCATATTTGCGGGCTGCAAAAAAATCGCTGTCTGGTCGCACGCACTTTGCCCACGTTTGGTGTATGCATTCCTAAAGATGACCCAATAAAGTCAAATCATGGCCTACCTCTCATTAATCAGAGTATTACAGAATGGAAACAATATTTTTTTTTTTCAGTAGTGTTTTGAGTTGTTTTAGATAAAGCACAAAGCATTTTGTTCTTGTTATATCCACATAAATACCCACAACTGTTACAGGTACAACACATCATAATCATTATATCATTACATAATGAACTTCATTTTAGAATCTGTCACAAAGACAACAATCAATCATATTACAGTATGGAAGAATTTTAACTCGGTCCTAACCTGTTTTCTTTAAAGTTCTTTCCATTTTCACCATAAAGAAGGATGTGCCTTCCTGCTTCCCATGATGCAATAGCTGTCAGAATATCGCCAATGTGAAGGAGAGTTGCTTCCTGTGGAAGTACATCATTAGGATCATCCTGGGACAAATAAACAATGACAAAAGTTTACTTTAAAATTCAAAAGAAGTTGTATTGCTAATTGCCAAGTTATTTGTCTTGTGATTTTCTTTACTTTGTATCCTTTTTTAACCTAGCTGTTGTAAAGGAAAAACTAATTTTCAATTTTAGAATGGGATAAAAAAGTGTTCTTGAATCTTGAAAAATAATAACAACAGGGATTTGAACCCAGGACCTTCTGTTGTCTATGCACATGCCTTAACCAACTGAGACATTGAGGCCTCATTGGGAATGCATTAATCCCCAGGCACTATCTTTGACATAGGGAGTGGCGAGAGGTTCAAATGCCTCTACAGACACTTTTTCTGGTACTGGATAAAGTAACTTTTCTTTGAAGGTCTATGCGTGACATAATAACATCTAGTATCTTTATTATTTATCATCTATTTGTTCATATTGTGTTTACAGTGCTACATAGCATAACCTAATTAGAATATTATATATATATATACCATATACTAGCGTATAAGACAAGGCTTGAAATAGTAAATTACGATAGAAAAACAGGGGGTCGCCTTATACTTGTAACATTTAAGTTTTAGATTTTCAAAGTATGTAACACACAAATTTACTACTGCAATGAATCTACTAAATTGTTAGTCTCATTTAAAAATGGTATTATTTGGAAGAATAACCCTGCATTGGGCTCCATTTTTAGCCAGCTAAATGCAGTATCAAGACCATAAAAAGCTGCAATAAGTATGAATTTCAACGGTGAAATGGGGTATCATCTTATATACCCAACATACAAAATTGTCCAGAAATCTCAAATTCGGGTCACCTTAAAGTAAGTATATACAGTACTTACTTCGATACCCCCCCCCCCTTTCTGGTGCCGCCACTATACTGAGTGGCTAGGAGGGCATGGCGGGAACTCTATAAAAAAAAAGTTACACTGATAAATTCTACATTATCTTGCGGTAATAAAATATCAACCACATCTGTTCAATGGAGGTGGCCTTAATGTTGAAATACTTACATCTAACCATTCAAGAACAGGCTTAATCAAATGACCAATGAAAACATTCGTACAAAAACATTTGTGACAAGCCTCCTTAGCCGAGCAAAGCATTTTGAATGTATTTGTCACCAAAATAGCTGGATTGAGTTTGTCTAAAATTTTAAAAAAAGTATGTAGTTGTCATTGCAAAATCATCATCATCCTTGTTATCTTTATTAAAAACTATGTGCTAAGGCAGGTATAAAACTTAAATGAAGCACATTTTACAAGAAAAACATCAAACCAGATAAACATTTTAAAAGAGAAAAAAAACACCATACAATCATTTTAAATACAGAACATACATGACAAGTAAAGTGTTCTAAATAATTTTGGATAAACAATGCAACAAAATATGTTTACAAATTACAGAATAAATATATCAATAGAAAAAGCATTATACCTAGTAACAGCTTACAGTAAAAGTAATTCAAGATTTAGCTTGGGGAATTCATTACAGTAATAGAAAATGATATATGTTTGTATTCAGTTTTTGCTCTAGCAAATTATTGTAACATTTTGTATTTGTATTTCATTTTGTGTGTGTGTGTTAGTTAAAAAAATTGAAAACTGCATTGGAAGAACAAAGTGAGCACATGCCCCTCCCCCTTTCCTCTGCTGACACGGACTAGACACTGACACTGACTACATTAGAATGCAGTGTCACCAGGATGATCGATAGACAACACTATCATTGCAGTGTCAGGGGAATTTTTGATTCCTGGACGCCCTGATATAACCTCTGAGGCATTTTGGGCGATCAATAATTTCTTTTTCTTCACATTTGTTTTTTTTTTTTGTTTTTTTGTTTTTCTTATTTATTATTTTTTACTTTTCAAATTATTGTAATATTTAATGAGATTAGCCTCAAGTGACTCATATTATTACCTTGGGATCTAGAGGATCTAGTTGTGCTGGAATCTGTCAGTAATGTTACTAGAGACACCATTAAATCTTGTATGCTCACTGACAAAAGAAAACTACAAGTTAATAACATGATACTTAATATAATTGAACTATATAGTGGCAGTAAGGAAAATTGAAGGGCATGCAGGAATAAGTCCATGTTGGTGACCTTGTCATTGGATTACTCTCGTTTGTTTGGTTTTTAGGGTCCCTAATGATCAGCTTCTGCTGGATCATTAAATATGGTACAAATAAAAAATAAATAAATAAATAAAAAATAAAATAATTAAATAAATAAACATCTATGAAATACATACACAGCTTCCTGGACAACACTCCATAATGTGGCAAGGTAAACATACCAGGTACCCACTTATAAACTCCTGGGTGGAGAGACATTGTAAATAAAGGGCATTTCCCAAGGACACAAGTCACAGTGATAATTTGAAACTCAATGCTTTAAAAATTAATGTCTTTATTCCTCAAACTCTTACCTGGTCCATATTTTGAAGAGATTGGAAAAAGGTTTCGTCCTCCAGCATACATTAATATACGACCAATCAGAGACAAGGAATGCACAAAATGAACAAATTTCAAGTCTTTCTCAGAATAGAATGTTGAATATGTATCACCTACAAAAATGAATTAAAAAAAAAATAGTATTAATTCCTTGGTTAGTAAAAGGCCTATGTTTCTACAAAACTACTACATAAACGACAAACTTACTGAAAATGAGTACTATTATGCAATTATAGTCAGGTTTTGAATGCACTATAGGAAATAGAAGCCAAAAAACCATTATTTCATACATTTTCACTGACTCACTTGGCACTGCCCTTTGCAATATGATGATGATGATGAATGCGGTAAATTGATTGTGGTTGATGAAGTTTACTAGGGGTTAGTGTTCTTAACCTCCTGGTAGACATATTTTTAATAGATTAAAATGTACTGTAAACATTATTTTGAATTATTTCAGTGTTGCCTTATCTTTTTTAGTTCTTTTATAATTAAGTTCATCACTTTGTTATTTCGTAACCATTATGCCTTTTTAGGCCTTGAGGATTGTCTAGGCTTCATTGGTGTTAACCAGCGCAGTAAAGAGAGATTTGCTTTTCGCTTTTTGCACATGAGACACAAAAAAGTGGAGGCACGATATCGAATCAGTGATTGACGAAAATTTAGTGCAAATGAAAAGTGATGATGTAAACTTAAAAATAAAATAAAATGAAAAAAAAAATTGCTAAATCTTTATAAATCAAATTATTACCTTTCAACTTTAAGTTAAAACAAGATGATTTGTTTGCCAATTAACGGACAGAAAAGATACAGTTCCTATACATTTATTGAAAGTTGATAACTTATGTAGTTCTTTTAAGCTTTATTTCCATACAATCGCTACATGCTTTTCACCAACAGCTTTCGGTGATGCTGATTGGTTGGTTGAATCGGGGAGCCTTCTTAATTGCGTCGGAGACTTCTATGCAGTACAATGATTGCACTAGAAACACTGTAGCGACAGTGTAGCGATTTTATGGAAACCAGGCTTTAGGGGTGTATTGTCCATTGCAATATACCAAAAAAATAATTTTAAAAAACATGTTTGAAATTAACTTACTCATAAAGAGTATCAACTTGAACATTTTAAACAAATTAAAAAAATATTTACCCATAATTTTACAGCAAAAAATGATGGCAATTCCAGACACTGGATGTGTTTAAATTTATTATCATTATCCAGTATAAAAATCAGGGTACACATTCTTTAAATTCGATAATTTCTATGCTCAAGTTAATAATTTGTATGTTACTACATAATGAGCAAGTTAATTTCAAAATGATTTTTAATGATTTTTGTCATTTTCAGGGGATAATACATCTTTAAGTAAGCACTTCAAATATTTGTATCTATTTTCAAAATCAGGCTCCGCAGGAAATTTTTTTTTGATACAACTAATTTTTCTGAGACACAAAAACAATGTTTGACAAACAACCCACGGTTAATGAGTTCCAGATTTTGGAATATTTAAAAACTGGAAAAAAGGGTGCAAAAAGGGGTGGTTACGGCTCTTTTCTTATCTCATTAACCGTTCCCGATTTTTTTCGTCAAATATGCTTTTCGTGACAAAAACTTTTCCTCTGGAGATTTACTTCAAAGTATTTTTGAGTGGCAGTAAATCTTACACCATAATTTTTAGTTAAAACCAATTTTATATAGAGTACATTACCAATCTTTTGCTTATCAAAAGTATTTGTGATACTATTAACAGGATCTTGTAGGTTTTCTGATTTTGCTATGAATTCCATACACTGCCGCAGGGCATTCTCAACCTAAGAATTAAAGGACGGCATTAGTCATATATTACTCTTTTTTACAAGGCACAACTGACTAAAGAGGCCCTACAGTAGCAGTTAAAGAAAAAAAAAACCGAAATTGTACCATACACTAATAGAAAGCAAAACATTTTTTTTTTAAATGTTAGCAACAAAACTACAGTTGAACTTGCCTAAGTCGAATCCAAAATGCTATTGAAATATTGTTCGACTTAGGCAAAAATTCGACTTACAGATTGTTAATTAAATGAAAAACACAATTTGGCATGTAAAATTTGACTTACAGATTGTTAATTAATTGAAAACACAACAATTTAGCAAGCAAAATAAGATCGACTTAGAAATTATTTAACTTAGGCACAGTCAACTTAGGCAGTTTAACTGTACTCAAAATCCTAATTTTAATTTCTTATGAATAGGAATAAGGAATATTGCATTTAATACAAAGAATTCTTACCAATCCTGGTTTATCCCTGAGAGACTTTAGAACAAAAGTTCTGCTGTAATGCCCATGCTGTCATAAAAAATCAATAATAAGAGTATAATATTAAAATACTGTAGACAAATGGATAAGAGGCACTAATAATAGGCCTAATAGTATTAATACCTGTTGTAATGTAAGCTTATATTCATCATGGAAATCATCTTCAAAAACTGTTTATTTGATGAAAAAAAAATTGGTATTTGATTCTTTGGCTATCTGACTAGTAATAATAGTAGGTTTTGCCAGAGTTGGCCACATTTTACAGTCAACAAATACAGGATTCTGCTATATTTCTATTTAATTGCCTGCAGTTGTGCATAGTTGCGCAATGTAGGTGAATATATAATAATTGATGAATGTGAATTTTCGGCGAGGAACATGTTATTTATAATGCCAAAAAGAGTATGTGCATTTTATCCTTGTTCTCAAAGTAATTTTATCCTGATTATTTATCTGTGTGGCAAACAGCTTGATTATGATTCTAATATTGTCTATCTTGTTCCGATTTGGCCGAAGTGCATTTATTTAATTATTATTGTATGAGTTTCTATTGCAGTAACCTGTGGTGTAATTACACACAAAAAAACATTAGATTCTTTAAAGGTCTGATGTAATAATGATTTGTAAGTAAATTTTGTTAGTGTGTGTGATATGCTTTTGGTGAATTTATGCGAAAATCTGTTTATAGTATTAGGTTACATATTGATGTGTCTGAAATTTGATTGTAAATAAGTTGCCTTTAAATTCTATATGTATGTCAGGGGGTCAGATGGTTTACATTAGTATTTTTATATAACATGTTTTTTTTAAATTCTAGTTTGTAATATGACATGCATTTAATGGCGAGATAGTTGGCATGTGGTACTGGTGATGCATAATGCCAGCCAAAATTGGCAAAAAAAAAAAAAATAAACCTTGCAAAATTGTACTAGGAGATTTGGCCAAGGTCGTGGGACATAGTACAGTATAAAGTAGCATTTACCATCCATTTCTTGAACCACCTAGCCTTTGGATCCAGCAGTGCAATGAAGTGTACAGGACAAACAATTTCCATGGAGCCTAATAAACTATGCGAATTGATATCAATCAGTTTCACTGTTTTCTCCAATATATCCTCCACAAAACTGAAGAAAGAAAAAACATCATATCAACACTTTGCATTTTAACAGTGTACAGTATTTTTACTATTGTTGTCAAATTATAAGGGTTTATACATTAGGTGTTAAATTTGAGGTTTTTAAGGTTTTAATATTTCTACGTTTTGAATTTTATATTGGAAAGCTCTTTGACATACAGCCCACGACAATGGAACTGCCCATACCCCCCTTTCATTTGGAATACCACAGAGTTCTGTTGTTGGACCCCTTATTGCTTCCTTACATGACATTATCACAGCACATACGGTCGAATATATGGTTTATGCAGATGAAACTCAGTTATACCCTCCTTTTAGTCCTGATAACATTGCGCATGCTGTAAATTAGGTAAGTTAGAGGCTTGCATCGCCAACATCAGATCATGGTGCAAGAGCAATATGCTTGTTTTGGATGATGCAAAGACCGAGATTATTCATTTCTCATCCCATTTTCGTAAAGCTAACCTGGTCCTTTCAGTGAATATTGGAAACATTTTAATCAAACCTTCACCTACCACTCACAATTTAGGAGTACTAATGGACTCGGCTCTAGCCAGGACAAATCACATAGACAACATATGCAAAGCTGGTCTTCAATCCATTAGGAAGATCGGAAGCATATCTTAATATCAAGTCTACTGAAATTTTTGTACATGCGTTCATCTCTTCTAGGTTGGATAACTGTAATTCACTTCATAATGGTCTGCCATCGAAAGACATAAAGCAAATCCAGAGGGTACAAAATGTGGCAACTCGTTTAGTTCTACCATGGACCTATTATGGTTCTACATGTTCCAATTCAACACCAGATTACTCCAGTCCTTGAAAAATCTTCACTGGCTTCCGATTATACATATATATATATACATTATAAGAATATCATACAAAATACTTCTTATAACATACAAATGATTTCACATCATGACACCATGACTTTATAATCGATCTCATCCACCCATACACCATCCCTTAGATCATCCTCTGAATCCCTTCTGTCACATCGTAGTCGTCTTCCAACTCAATTCTATGGGCAACATTCATTTGCATGGGCGGCAGCAACTCTGGAACAGCTTGCCAATTGAAACAGGCTAATACTTGAAATAATTTTATACATCTTCTAAAAAGTCATCACTCCAAATTACATTTTCATTCCAATTCATAATTTTTCCAGATTTATTTCATGTGTCCGGCTTGTTTTGGCAAGAAAGATTGTTCACCACATTAAAGAAACATTGAAAAGAAAAGGAAAGAAATGATAAGGAAACATTGGAAAGGAAAAGGAAAGAGAGATATTGAAACATCAGAAAGGAAAAGGGAAGAAAATATAAGGAAACATAAGAAAGGAAATTAAAGAAAAGAAAAGATAAGGAAACACTAGAATGGAAAAGGAAAGGAAAGTTAAGGGAACATAAGAAAAGGAAAAGAAACTTGGGATTGGGAAATACAGGCAAGGGTTGTTAGAAGGAAAGGAAAAAAATGACAAGCCAATCATATAACAAAATGTAAACAATGAAATAGTTGAACTGATAAGAAATTGAATTGAAAGATTTTTGCTCACTGTTTTAATCATCTTTTCTTTTAATTCTGTTCTGGCATTCGCTTTTAATGCAAGGTGCATAGAGGTTTAAAGCATTCTGCGCTATATAAAAATAAATTTATTATTATTATTATACACGGCCTGTCAATTGTTCGGTATTCAGGCACAGGTACGCTCTAAGGGCTGACTGCCCTAGTTTGATTTGTATCTTCTTTTTTTAAAATTTATTTGGTATAAAAAACAATCCCAGAGGGCAAACCTGTGAGTTTATATAAATATCAAACTTTGCACAAAATATCATATAACAGAATTACAAGATACATTCACTAAAACAATACATTCAAAATATAAAAATCTATATTTATTCATTGTATCATGATATTGACATTCATTTATATTATTAACAATTTCAAATATTCAATTACTACTTACAATTTAAGAGTCATATTATAAATTCCCAGTAAAATTTAACATTAAAAGACAGGAATATATATATATAAATAAATCATTTGGCTTATTTATTGAGGCTTGCCTCTAAAGTTTATTTTTGGCCTTCCTGTTTACTTGTTTAGGCTGTTTATTCTAATCTCACCCAGTCTATTGTTTCCAATCATACTTGCATGAAATTCTCACTTTATACCATCTAGCTTTTTCTACCCTCACTCACTCGCCACTACACATCTAGATGTGTATAAGAGACAGTATATATATATATATATATAAATGAAAAAAATTAACATTAATTATTAATATTTACAATTGCAGGTTTCCAAATATTATCAATATTACAATTTACAATTAAGATATATCTACATTAATGATTAAATAATTATTTCTTGAGAAAATAAAAACTATGATATTAACATACAGGTCTAATAAAAAGGGTTGGAACAAAAGGATCAACCATGCTATCAAAATGTAAAATTGGAATTGAATGAAGTTTCATCTGAAATAGTTTGATACAATTAAAAGTTGTCTGTAAAATGTTTACTAGCATTCAAATTGTGTACAAGGTATGGTATGGTACTAGACTTGTAGTGTTGTGTTCTGCATCGTGGTGTTTGTAATAGTTTAGAGTGTCTGAGGTGTCCGTTATGTATGGCATTGTTTGTTTCAGGTAAAAAATTGCGGTGTCTTGAGTTGAAAAGTTTCCATCCAAGCTTAGCACAGGTGATGTTCTCCTCTCAGCTAGTTTTGGGATACCATGGTTTTTGCATAACATTGTATAAGATAAATACTTAGATTCTCCAAGAATAATTCGTACAGCACACTTTTGAATATATTCAATGTCCTCGGACTGCTGTTTCGTTATTGAAGAGTGCCATACAGGGTAACCATATTGCAATATATTCTTCCTTCATACATACATACAAAACACAATACATACAAAACACCATAAGTATATCTTCCATTGGAGCCAAGTAGTAGAGCCAGGGTATTCCACATTTAATGTCGAAAAATATGGTGCCTTACGCTGAAGAGGATTAGGGTTGGCTAACTATCGAGATATCGGACGGTATCCATGTTTTATCTATTGATAAAAAATAGACACACACTGGTGGCAGTGGTAGAAAGGCCTAGCCAAGCTAGTGGGGGAGGGGAATGAATACAAATATATAAAATAATATTAAAATTAATATCATTATTATTAATATTAATAACAATAATGGTAAAAATGCGGTTTGCCTCAGTGGTTTTCATTCTGGTTGTACAAACAAATACAAACAGTAACAGAAAAAAAAAAATATTACACAGTATTACATAATCCATGAGAAATGACTAAAATGGTGAACTTACTTTTCTGGGAACCTGACCCAGTAAGAGGGGACTTCTATTTGAAATTCATTCAACAACCGAAACTGCACAAAAATGATAACATGGCTCAGATATAAATCATATAGCAAAGGTCTTCAGTGGTCAAAGAAAAAAAAAATTAAAAAGTTAGAAAAATGAAAATTTTTTAAACAGCAAATACTGTAGTGTTTTCTAATATTAATCCATCATGAATATTTTTTTCTATTTAATATATTTGAGAAAACTGATCAATATTATTTGTTATTTTTAACAAATATTTTTATAAAAATTGAATGACTAGATTTGTTAGTCTGGTAAATTTAAAAAAAAATTATACTAGTTAACAAAATAATTGCTTTGTAAATACAGTACCTGTATCAACATTTGGTTTTGGTAGGTGTTTATCAACAACAACTCCTATCAAGCATGCTGTATTTGACATATTGTAAGATGAGTATCTTAACCACCATGGTGGTGGGTCCAGGACCTTTAATATGGAAGGGTTCCAGGGAGGAAGTTTTACAGATAGAGGTTCTATACCACCTCACCTTACCATGCAAAAGAGTTATGTTATGGATATGGCAACTCTAGGTGCCTTCAATTTGAATATAACGTTTATAATTTTTCTCCATTTTTAATAATTTGTTCAGAATTAAGGGGACCGACTGGGCTTGGCCACATCCTCCCTCTTTGAATTTAACATTAAGCCACCTGTAACATACCTTACGCAGAAGACTCTTGATGCTGGGGTTGTTCACATCTAGACCATCTTTCAAATACATAGATTTACCCTTTCTTGCTGGAAACTGACTACATAAGTAATCCACTAAAAATAAGGTAATATATGTTTACTTCTCAAATTTGTGTGGTTATATACTTTTCATGAAATCTGAATTTACATCACCAACTTTATATTCCCATCATCATTATCATGGCTTTAAATAAATCTGGTCCTACCTAAACTGGTGTATACTTCCTTGCTGATTGTATGAGATTTGGCTGAAAACATCTTTGCATGAAATTGTAGACTTTTTTCCTAAAATAGAAATAGTTAAATTAGTTTTACAAAATAATAACAAGAATATAGATACAAGATACAAGAAATTTTATTATAATATAAATGTTATAGCGCTCTGAGAGATTATTATAGGGCGCTATATTAAGGAACTATATTATTATTATTATTATTATTATATTATTATTATTATTATTATTATTATTATTATTTGTCCTCATATAAAAACATATAATAAAATTTTGGTTGTACAGCTTTATATTTATAAACATTAACATTTAAAAAAAAAAAAAATTCAAATTCAAAGGGGCATACAGTGCACCACACACAGATCGAGTAATAAATTTATAACATTGAAAATTTAACAATAAAACTTCTAAAAACGACTGTAATTCAAAGTTAAGAGAGTTAAATTTGATATTTTAAAAAAAAGGGGGGGGGGTAAAATTTGATGTAAAAGGGTTAAACATTATTTTCTAAATTTAGAATTATGCTTGTGAATCGAGTTGGGCAGAAATGAGTTTCTGTAACAACATTACCGTGTACGTGGTGGATCTATTTAAGTTGATGTAACAACTGTGTAGGGGATGTGTAGGATCATTCATAATTTTATGTATTTTAAGAGCAACATGATAATAATACAAGCTTGATTTGTTCAGCGCATCATGCAAAAAGTCACTATGTGCTTGGTGATTGATCTCCTTCAGTAGAGTAACCAATTTCTCTTTTAATGAATCTTCCAAATATAGACTCGAAAACTGCTGAACAAGCTGTTACTATTTTGTTTGGGTTAGCTTCAATGTTAAGATTAGCATCCGAATCAGGGTGATAAGAAGTCCCAAGGATGCAATAGAGGGATTAGAGACTGACTAAATTTTAAGTCGACTGATGCACCAGAATGGTACTCCTGAGGCGCACCATTCTTACATTGGAAACATTTATCTAAGATTACACTGTCCTTTAAAAACCCTTGATGAGAGAGCTGGTGATGAACATAATAAGGATGGTGATAATTATAATCATGAAGATAATGAAGTATTTTCCACTAACTTCTAAGCACTGGTCTGTATCACCAAGTGCACTGGTCAGACCTGCTCTCAGGTGTTCCCATTGGTCACAAGCCAAAACATCTGAAGGTGGAATTTGGCAAAGCTTGGTTATAGCATCCTGTCTTGTCTGTAGGGATAAAGGCAAAATAAAAAATGATAGCCAAGATTGTGGCTCACAAGATGTTATCAGTTTATCCTTTATCATTTTGACTGTCAACATAAGCATGTTCAAAACAAAGAAGGTATAATATAGTTGGCACTGGAATTTTCCCAACAGGAAAAAGCTTTGCTTACATGTGTTGTATAATATAATAAATGCATCCACAGGTAGTGGTGTCAAACGACAAAGGTAATAAAAAACAGACTTGCACACCCAACAACATCATTCCACAAAGTTCCAAATGACCTGCACACTCTTACACTAGCCAACATTGCATCCTGTAAGGTTCTAGTAACTGACCTATGCATCACAGGATAGTGACCTTACTCAAATAAGACCTGCCAAAGACCTTGTTTGGGCTCAATTTTGCAATGTTCTTTCATTTCTTTTCATACAATGTACTTGTATTTTTGTCAATTTAATATTCTATATAAATTTTTATAGAATTGCAATAATAATAATAATAATAATTATTGCAATAGTATTAATAATAATAATAAATTGTAATGATTGCAATAGTAATAATAATCATAAATTGTAATAATTGGCTTATAATAATAATAGAAATTTTAATAATTATTTTAACTATGCGATTTTATTTTTTATTATTCTTCCTTGTGAGAATGTCGCTTTTTTAGGATTTTACTGTTTCTATTATTGGGGGTTTTTTTTGTTTTTTTGTTTTAACTTTCTATCTTATTGTACATTTCAAAACTTGTTCTTGTTTTGCAATAAATTTATATTGAATTGAAAAAAAACCAAATATGTCAAAGTGATATGTATACCCACCAGATATTGACCTTTTTCATTCCAACATTTTGAGTGCCTTCATGATACTGTACCATTTTTGTGAGAAGACAGATCAAGGAAGGAAAGAGGTAGAATTCAAAGAAGGAAGTGAGTTGTTGTGGAAGGGAAGGGAAGATGAACTGACATTGTATGGGCAGGGCAAAGAAATGGAAGAAGTGGGTGGTCAGGAAATTGTACAACATTGCAGAGTACTACCTTGTCTTTAATTGGTGAAAGGGACATACTGTATAATAGCTGGATGAGTAGATTATGTAGCATGACCAGAGAGAACTTGAAGAACATAATTATGAGGCTTGTTTTTGATCATGTGAACATCTACACGTGACAGGACTTAACCCGAAAGACTAAAATTTGAAGGCGACCATCTTAACTACCAAAGCTACTACATACATATAGGGATAAAATATGCAGACTGCAGGCTACACAGTTTGTTATAATAAAGAGCAATAGGCTATCTGCACATTTAGCTGTGCAGATAAAGACTCCATCAAAGAAGACTGACTCCTAGTTTCAGGGATTTCTTTATAATTTTTTTTTTTGTTAATGTAGACAAATATCTTTATGTATAAACTCACTTTTAAAGCTTTCAGGGGCTCTAGGTTTTCAGAGATGGTCACAAAGTGTCCTTGGTTCATGAACATGAAACCCTGGTTGAAAGACGAGTCAAAAGATGAAGAGCTTCCCTCACTGAATTCAAAACTACACCGCTTGGGACTATCCCGCATAGAATGCGCTTCCCTCATCGGACAGTCACTGTGATCCTCATCAAATGTAAGTAATAAACGTTCCACAGAATCTTTGGTATGTTGTTTCAGATTTTGCATCATTTCAGAATACCTGAAATAATCATTAGAAATATTTTATCTTTTGACAAATACAACAGGACACACACCCAAATGTATCAAACATTTCAACTTTCCTTATCAATAATATAAAACAAGATTATATAACAGTAAAATCTTTAAGGCAATCGGTAATATAAAGCTGACGCAGTACGATATAAAAAAAAAAATTGCCGAAAAAATTTAGGAGAAATTCAAGACTGGGGACCCCAAGGCAGCATTGGACAGTATGTAGAAAAGAATAGGATTATCATAAAAACTAGATTTGAACTCGTCACTGAGGACGAGTTTGGTGATCCGCCGTATTTTGACCCTCACGAAGCACGCGCGGTTCTGATTGAAAAGTATTATATGCTAAAACATGCTCTATTTTAAAGAGTAATTTTGAGCATTTTTAAAGAAATTTTAAAGGAAAAGAGTAACTTTGAGCATTTTAAGGACTTACAAATGTGTACACATACGTCTTAATGTCCGTGCGCACGGTAGTATTAATACAGTGCAAGAAACCCAACACATGTAACCGAAACGTAATTTCCAGCTTCAGTACGTGCTGTGGGCGTGGAAATGAGCGTACGGCGCGTAAAATTTTGGAAAGTTTTGGAATATTCAAAATGACCTGAAACGTGCTTTAAATTATCTGAAAAGTGATATTAACAATTTTAAAATTTTAACGCACAAGTACGAATACCTTATACGACGTGCCTGACGACGGTAATGCCACATGAA